ATACAGACAGACACAAATGCACAATAAATAAATGGAATTAAATTTTTTATTTCCTTCCTTCTTTCCTTCCTTCCTTCCTTTCTTTCGCCACGCAGTGATGACATGCGCCTTTAATCCCAATACTCAGGAGGCAGAGGCAAGCAGTTCTCTGAATTCGAGACCAGCCTGGTCTATAGAGCAAGTTCCAGGACAGTCAGGCTGTTACATAGAGAAACTGTCTCAAAACAAACATACAAAAACAATTTGTTTTTGTCTTGTTTTGTTTTTAAAGGAACTGATGTAGGAAGGGATGTGTGACAGTTACCTAAAGCAAAGCAATCAGTTGGAAATACCGCCTTCCTCCCAGGTGCTGGGAATGACAGACCTGTGCCCACACGGGACTCAAAAGATAGCTTTTCATACGAGCAGGGTGTGCTGGTACAGGCTCTCATCCCAGAACTTGGGAGGTGGATGCAGGACGATCAGGAATTCAAGTTTGTTCTTCGAAATGTAATGAGTTTGAAGTCAGTCTGGACTACGTGAGACTGTCTCAGAAAAACCAAAACCAAAAATAAAAGACTTTTTATTGAAAATAATTCTGAATTTATAGGAAGGTTGCAAATGCCCACTCTTTGCCTATCACCTGCTGTTAACATTTTATCACTACATCTATATTTACATAAATAATAAAAATAGACCTATCTACTGTATTTTTTAAATCATATACACACCTTGGACCTTTACTCCTAAATACTTCAGTGTGTAGTTCTTAAGGATGGAACCACATTAGTCAGTGATTTTAACACTAATACCTCAATATATCTACAATTAATTTCTCCATTAACTCACTAATTTTCCGCTCCCATTGGGAAAGACCCAGTCTACTCTCTCATGTAAGATTTAGTATCACTTCCCTTCCACACAAATATTGTTAGAGCTTTTGTCTTTTACAACAGTAACATCCACAAACACTATCCACTCAGCCCCCTTTAAAAAGTAAAACCTGACTTTGCGCACTGGGGACTGAGCTGTTACTTTCCCACTTAGATGTCACGTTTCCAGAGAGTCATATCTGAAGGCAAGTAATGTCTGTCTGTCCCTCTTCTGTAATCTAAATACCCACCGATGGTTCTCCCCAATCTTTAGCACTTATTACACAGTGATTTTCCCACTTTACATTCTACCATATTAATATTTGTTTCTATCCCTACTTATTAGCAGTTTTATCAGTGATGGGGGAGCAACCCAGGACCTCATGCATGCTCTGTGAATACTCTACCACTGACCCATATCCTTAGCCAATCGATTTTAGTGCGAATTTATGAATTGCTTTTAAAAACTTGAACCTTTTTGATATTTTAAAAAGGAAACTGGTATGAAATTGGACAAGGAACCTTTCTTTCCATTACATCTGAAAAGTTATGCTTAAAATTCTCACAAGGGAACTTGAACACAATTCACTTACTTGGGGAAAAAAGCTATCAGATAAATGCAACTATCCAAACTTAGAGGAAGACGTAAACATAAACAAAAAGATTTTCTGTTACATAAATGGTCCCAAAGTCAGAGCTTTTGTAGCATTTGTGTTTTGTTTAAAATATTGTGTTTCCCAGGCTACTCTAACTGCTACCAGGCAGTTCAGGGTGTGTATGTGTGTGCACATGACTGTAGCAAGGCAGTGCTATCGTGGCAGGGACAGGAAAAGCACAGCAGAAACACAGTTCTCAGTGCCAGACCTGTGAGAGACTACAGGAACAGAGTAGGCCAAGACTGCCTACTGGACGGTTACGAGAATAAGCATTATAAGCTCCTGAGGGCATCTTGTATCACAGTTTTTGATTTTAACCACATTACCACTGGGTCATCAGGAAAAGGCTCAACTACACTGTGTTCTGTTTTCTTGTGATACCATAGACCAAACCCAGGCCTCTGAAGATGCTAGGCAGGCACTATAAACTTCTGAGTTATAAGCTGTATTGTATTTTATTAGTTTAAAGCAAAATACGGTGAAATTTCAAAAGAAAAAAAAACCAATGAAAATGGTTTAAGTTGCTTCTATAAGATGAAAACCCAGTTTATGGAGAATAACTAATTATGACCAACCTTCAGTGACTCCTTTAATAACCATGTCAGATAAAGGAGGCATTGCTGAAACTGCCTCTAATATTGAGAAATTGTAAAACATACAAACATTTATGTATACATAAACTTGCCCCCAAGGGAATTCCAGGGAAATATTAATCATTAAGTAAATAAAACCCTGCTGAGGCATGCCTGATACAGAACTGCTCCTGGGAGGAGCAGCTTAATTGTAAATTACTTAATATGGCACCCAGACTTGAATGCTCTGTTCAGCACGGTCCTTAGCACCCTGACTCTACTGCACGCCTTTCTCCACTGGAGTCTAGCGGACTCTCTTCACAGCTGTGCGTCCATTTTCTGTACAACAACGTCCTCTTCAGAGTCCCCTCTCATGCCTGTCCCCTCCCGGGGAAGTTCGAATATTCTGTTCCGCCTATGTTTTAGATCAGTATGTTGGAAACACAACTGACATGTTCCTTCAAGATGCCTGCCTGATTTGGGTTTTGACAGGGAGATGAATTGTTTGTTGATTTGCTTTTTGCTCTAGTGGTGTCTTGCCTTTGAAGCGCTTATTGTCCATCTAAATGGGTCCCTTGGCTTATCCCTTGGAAGCAAAGTAATGCAGAGTAATAAAACTGTTACACAGTGGTGACTCCCCCGAAATGACTTTTAAGCATATTGAATTCTTATCGATTTCTGTTTTATATAATAGCAGCATTTCTGTTGTATCCATTAGTATTTTTTGTTCTAAGACTGTGCAGATTTCCTCTTCTGGCAAAAGCAAATGGAACTCATAAAGCAACTTACAGAACTATAAAAAAAAAAAACAGTGCTCTGGTAAAGAAAATTAGTTGTAAGTAGTCACTGCTTTATTTACATATAAATGGACGGGGAAAGACTTTGAAACAACAACAAAAACATAAAGGATAAGCTTTTTTTCCTATCTTTTTTGGCTTTTGGAGTCAGAGTCTTAGACTGTAGCCCAGGTTGGCCTGGAATTGAAGCCCATCCTCCCACCTCGGCTACCTGAGCTCTGGGATTACAGAGCCAGCGCCAGACCCACCTCTCTTATTATTTTGGGGGTGTGCATGTGGGCGCCCAGTCCATAGTTTGTGGGCAGAGGGCAGCTCTCAACCTTCCGCCTGGTTGAGGCATGGTTTCTCAGAAGCACAGTTGTATATTCCAGCCAAGAGTCTCCTGTTTCCCCTCCCATTTCCCTGCAGGAATTCAGGGATTACAAAAGTTTGCTAAATTCTGCCCCTTTCCTTCCAAGTCCTGAGTTCAGGACTGAGCTCAGGTCCTCAGGCCTGCCAGGTTAGCAGCGCCTCTGTCTCCTTCCTCTCAGGACTGAGCTCAGGTCCTCAGGCCTGCCAGGTTAG